TACGTGTTAGGCCAGATAGGCCATGGAAGGAAAGACAGATGGCGGGGGAGTCGCCAGAGCTTATTCCTTCTGCCTCCATGGTTGTTCACGGCATTCCCGAACTGGAAACTGGGAACGCTTGTGAGAAGCACTGTCACGATGTCCAGCAATGGAGATGGTTGGCATCCCAGATGGGTCTGGGAAGTTCAGGGGCTGTCTCTATTTTTAGACTGCCTCGACCCACTCACCTAATGTCAATTAACACCCCACGTCTGTTAGCTGTTAAGTTTAGCTCCCGAGACCACTTGACTACTGCTCTCCAGAGATGGTACGAGACCAAAGACAAGGTCAGCAGACACATTCGCTGCTGCGAGAGCCGGCCTCGTACCCAAAGGAGAGAGCAAAACGTTGTCATAGAACATCCCCAACCCCTAGTCACAATACAGCGGTGCAGCACGGACGATGATAGCCAGTGTCATCCAAGTGCTCCGATTGAATCAGAAGAAAAAAACGCCAACAGGCCGGTTCCCGGGGAATCGGCCAACTAGTTCGTAGGATAACTCCTCAACCGACAGCCCACATCACGTCAACCACCCCCCAATACGGGGACGTGGTGAGACTGACTACCAGTTGCCTGTACAGTAATGTGAGAGGTCTAAGAGGCAAAATAGCTGAACTTAGATACCTACAATCACAGCTGAACTCCAAAATCATAATACTGACGGAAACCTGGCTAACCCCTACGGTGGCAGACAGCGAAGTCAGTATAAATGATATGGTCCTTGTCAGGCGAGATAGGGATCTGAAAGAAGGAGGTGGAGTCGCCATATACGTCGACAAACAGCTCAGATGTGTCCATGCAATCGACCCTCCCCTCATTGAGCTCCCTGACTCCATATGGTGCCATTTCACCGTTGGGTACTGTAAGTATCTAGTGGGCAGCATTTACAGATCACCTTCATGTGGGGCAGACCACAACCAGGTACTGCTGAATGCAATTTCAGCGACACATGACATGGGTTATGATCAAATTGTCATAGCTGGAGACTTCAATGCCCCATCTCTTAACTTGATGACGGGATGTGCCCAGGACAGATTTGATCGAAATCTGCTGCATACCATCACGGAGGCCGGATTCACCGAAAATGTCAGAATGGATACTAGATGGGGCCCAGATCGGAAGTCTTCTAGACTGGATTACGTGCTCACTAGTGACCAGCTACTAGTGGAAAACGTTCAGATCACGACTCCCATAGGTAGTAGTGACCACGCGGTCATAACATTCGACATAGTCCTCCGCGAGCGTTTACAGTGGGACAATACACAGCCCTATCTGTGTTATAACAAAGCCAATTACACCGAAATGCGAAGACTTTTGTCTGAAGCAAATTGGCCAAAAAATTGGACAGAGCTTACAGTAGAAGAACACTGGAGAGTGGTAAAGGAGATCATTCACCAGGCGGTCTCAGACACTGTTCCTTTAGTCACACCTAAAGCTAGAAAGCAACGTTCATGGCTAAAAAGGGGGACACAACGCCTTCTACAGGCGAAGCGAAAAGCCTGGTTTGCGTGGCGAGTATCTCAGAGTCAACCCGAACATGAAGTGTACCTCGAACTCAGGAATCGGTGTAACATACGAGTCCGGAGCGATAGAAGGACATTTCAGAGAAACCTCGCCAATAAGCTTCTCGTGAACCCCAAAAGCCTACACAGGTTTATGTCTGAAAGAAAACCGACCAACCAGGGAGCTTGCAACCTAGTGGGTTCTGATGGGAAATCTCTTACTAGTCTTGAAATGGCAGAGACATTCAGTCTAGCCTTTCACAGGCAACTGAACAGTAATGAGGATTTTACCCCCACAAAACATCAAGATTACAATGCAAGACCAACGTGCGAAAACCTGCTGGGTACATTTCAAATTACCCCGGCTATGGTACTCGTAAAATTGCGAAAGTTGGCTTCGGGAAAGTCTGCAGGTTACGATGACATAAGACCATCCGTCCTGAAGCAGTGTTCAGAAAGCCTCTGCCAACCTCTAAGTGATCTGTTTCAACACTCTTTTGGTGTAGGGAAACTTCCACGTGAATGGAAACGAGCCATCCTATCCCCTATCTTCAAGGGTGGTGACCGGCAGAACGCGACCAGTTACAGACCAGTTGCGCTACTCCCAGTGATATCGAAGATATTGGAAAGTCTCATTGACGACCACATGAGAAAATACTTCGACGGGACTAACCTGCTCCATGAAGCACAGCACGGTTTCAGGAGGAGAAGATCCTGTGTGACGAATCTTCTACTAGCTTGGAACGATTGGACACTATCCTGGGATGTAAAGGTACCAGTCCATGTGATCTTTCTCGACTTTGCGAAAGCATTCGACACAGTTCACCATGGTCTGCTCCTTCACAAAATAAGCAAAGCGGGTGTTTCTGGAGCACTTCTCGCATGGCTGGAAGATTATTTAGGCGAGAGAGAATTCTGCACCAAAGTCAACCGCATCAGATCATCCTGGCACACCTCGGCATCAGGGGTTCCTCAGGGTTCTATCTTAAGGCCGTTGATGTTTTTGATTTTTATCAATGACCTGCCCTGTCAACTGAATTGCTCTGCGCTTCTTTACGCTGACGACGTAAAGGTTTGGAGAGCAATAAACTCATCGGAAGACTCCGACAGATTGCAGGCTGACCTGCAAACGCTGGGGGACTGGGCTCTGGCTAACGGAATGCCTTTCAACTTAAAGAAGTGCAAAGTAGTGCAACTTCATTCCGGCAGGTCAGAGTGCAAATTACACCCTTGGTGGCCAGAACTTGAGTTGTGTGCCATCAGAACGCGATCTAGGCCTTATTTTAACAGAAAAGCTAGACACCAGTGTAAATTACACGAGGGACGTCGCCAAAGCTTACGCCACTTTACACTTTATGCATAGGCAGCTGGGAGCTCTTATTCCTGAACTATTCCTAACGTTGTATACGACATACGTGAGGCCACTCCTTGAGGTGCATAATATCATTGCTCCTCCGCTACTCAAAAGGGATGCTAACATGCTAGAAAGTGTCCAGAGACGAGCGACAAAATGGGTGATCGGCCTCCGCAACAAATCATATGAGGAGAGACTGAAGAAATTAAGTCTTTTCACACTTAGTTACCGTAGTCACAGGGGAGACCTTATCACCGTCTATAAGATCCTAAATGACCAGGCCCATCCTAATAAGAGCATCCTGCCATTAAGTGATTATAGGCTTCCACGAGGTAACCCGCTAAGGATAGCACACCAGAGACCACGGACTCGAGTGCGTTCACATTTCTTCTCGCTTCGAGTTTGTCGTCTCTGTAACGCTTTACCGGCGGCCGTAACTACAGCTCCATCTGTGGAGACTTTTAAGCGGAAGCTGGACAATCATGCAGAAATGCATGGTTTGTGTCTCAATGGCTTACCCTCTTAAAATTTGAAACCACATTGTCAATGGATAAGCATACAAGCTAAATCCCCACGACCCGTCCTGTCTTCTCCCACTGTACCGACTACTCTATCTTTTCTTTATTATTTCACTTATCTCAACCTATATTATCTACACTACAACCTATTATTATTATTATTATTACTCTATTTTTATGACTATACCGAATGACCAACGGGTGTTAGGTCAAACTCCATTCACGGCAGCAGCTGAGTCCTAACATACTGCACACTACAAACCACAATCTTGACCAATCCTCGCATCACTCCTCTTGGAGTCTACCAGAGCTAAAGCAGTCGAGTGGCGGGATTTACTACGCATAAGTTCACCGAAGATCTGGAACCTCTACCTTAAAATCAAGAAGCGAGCTCAAAGAAATCACTGGTTTATACTAGCTCGTAATCAGGATATTGGATATTGGATGTACCTACTCTGGAATTCGACTACAAAATAATTTGTGGCGATTTTAACCTCCCCGAAGTGAACTGGGATACCTGCACTGGACCTAGAATCTATGACGAGCTCCTAGAAGCTATAGATGTAGGAGGATGGAAGCAGTGCGTACGCCTCCCAACACGACATAACAATATTCTCGACTTAGTCCTCTGCCACAAAATAGAGCCGATCTCGATAGAGTTGGGGATAAACTCGACAACAGTAATCACAACATACTGTACTGCACCCTACCTCTTCAACTAACAACTAAACACACACCTGAAAACTCCCCGGTTCACTATCAATATAGGAACTATAGAAATGCCGACTGGGAATTCCTACCAACTCTCTTGAGAAGCTCTGACTGGGATGAGTACTTTGCCAATGATAACTTAGAAGTAACACTTGATACCTTCTACAAGACGGTCAGTTAGGTAAGAGATACAATCGCACCCCTAAAGTCTGCCTTAAGGACACCAACTCTTTTCATAGACCGCAAAACGCGATTAAAACTAAGGAAATTGAAAAGGAAATTTTATTTATATAAAGAATTTAGTGCATTACACCAGATACATGAAACATTTAAAAATCTTGAGGAGAGACATAAAATGAAGGCACAGCTCGAGGAAAATGAAGCCCTAGGGGGCACTTCTAAAACTCAGGAACTCTGCAAGATCTTACAAAAACGACTAAACAAGGGTAACGAAAATAATGTTGACCACTTGGAGCATGAAGGTATAAGTTATGATGATCCCCAGATTATTTGTGAACGCCTAAACCAATGGTTCTCCAATAACACCAAAGCGCATCCGTCTCCAATCCTCGATATAACCTGCAAAAATAACTACGAGTTAGGTGAAATCAAATTTAATACACAAAATATAGCATCAGCGGTAGAGACATTAAAAGCTAATGGTAGTTGTGGGATACATGATATACCATCTATCATATACAAAAACGGTGGCTCGGATATGATAGTACTATTACTTAGAATATTCACCCTCTCACTAGTGACTGGGACCTACCCTGAAACTTGGAAAAACACGTATATACTACCTAAGCATAAAGGAGGGGCCAAAACTAGTGCATGTAATTATAGTTCCATTATGGGTAAATTTTTATTTTGATAGTCTCACAGTGTTATACAGTAATATTTACTGATGACGTTTCGAGCACAAACTATTGCTCATAATCATATCAAGTTACTCACACAACTTCTTTCCTCCATTTATATACATGTGTGGAATCGACTAGATATTGGATTAAAATTCAATATGAGATAATGTACATTCAGAAATAATAGTACGAGTGTTATTAATCCATTGCAATTAAATGGGAAATACGACGAGTGTTTTTATAATTATAATAAGTTGATTGTTAGAATGTGTTTGAATGGAAATAGATTATTTATTATCCTCCTCTGATTTGACTGGTGGCAATAATAATAATAATTATTATAAAAACACTCGTCGTATTTCCCATTTAATTGCAATGGATTAATAACACTCGTACTATTATTTCTGAATGTACATTATCTCATATTGAATTTTAATCCAATATCTAGTCGATTCCACACATGTATATAAATGAAGGAAAGAAGTTGTGTGAGTAACTTGATATGATTATGAGCAATAGTTTGTGCTCGAAACGTCATCAGTAAATATTACTGTATAACACTGTGAGACTCTATCAAAATAAAAATTTACCCATAATGGAATTACACTCTACCACAGTGCCCAAGTTTTATTCTTATACCATGTAATTATAGGCCTATCAATATAACACCTGTCATATCAAGGATCATGGAGAAAGTAATCAAAGACCAAACGTCAGACTACTTTCTAAAACACAAACTCATCAACCAGTCACAACACGGATTCCTTAAGAAAAGATCTTGCGTCACTTGCCATATAGACTTTTTCAACGAAGTCACCTATAGAAGAGATAGGAGAGAACTAGTAATTATCCTCTATTTCGATATCAGGAAAGCCTTCGACAGAGTCCCACATAGTCTGTTAGTCAGCAGGCTATGCTCACTAGGGATACGCAACCCCCTCCACAACTGGATAAAATCATTTCTCAGTGACAGAAATCAGACAACAAAAGCTGGCTCTATAACCTCCAGGCCCTGACCAATTAGCAGTGGTGTCATCCAGGGGAGTGTATTGGGCCCCCTTTTTTTCATTATATACATAAACAGTATATGTGAGTGCTTTAGTATAGACAAGCCAATAATGTATGCAGATGACTTAAAGGTGACATATAATTGCACAAATACAGATATCGGTACAACTATGAACTCCATACATGAAGAATTAACAAAAATGGATATGTGGTGCGACACCTGGAGACTTGAGTTTAATGTCGAAAAGTGTGGCTGGCTCTGCATAGGCTGTCCCAACCCAGAACTCGACCTAGCAATTCAGGGCCACAAAATCCCTAGACTCAAATCTGTGCTAGACCTAGGACTGACATATTCACACAATCTATCATTTTCTGAACATATCTCGAAACAAGTATCGAAATCACACAGGCTTATTGGTTTCCTACTCAGGAACTTCTACAGAAGTGAATCCAGAATACTACTGTACAAGGTTTGTGTGCGCCCACTCCTAGACTATTGTTCATTCATATTTAGTAGTATACGCATAGAAGACAAACTAAAAGTAGAAGGAGTACAGAGGTACTTCACGCTAAAAGTACTCGGAACCGAAAACGGCACAAACTACTCCACCAGATGTGAAATTCTAGGACTAGAAACATTATGGTTAAGACGACTGCGACTAAATCTGGTACTCTTCTATAAACTACTTAACCACATAGTGTATACCCCTACTAATTGTACTCGGTTTTCAGAAGACACTGGATATAACCTTAGACACACTAAAGGTACGGTGGCTACAGAACAATGTAAAACAACCACCAGGCAAAACTTTTTCATGATTAGGTATACCCAAATATGGAACAAACTACCTGAGGAAATGCGACTAGCAAGCTCACTGGTGTCCTTTGAAAAAGCTCTTAATGACACACTAAGTGGGTTTGCAAGTGATACCAGTGCTAATTCCCATGTAGGAGCTTCAGAAATTATAGGCCCATTTAATGTATGAACTTAGAGACTACACCTGCTGTTTCTTTTGCCTTTATCTATAATTTCAGACAAAAAAGCAGCAGTCATGAAAATAACACCCATACAAATAAGAGTCGATCGAATTATGTCTACCTGATACAAAGCGTGAACCATAATCAACATACGAATGAAATATGAGAAAACAAGGTCGAGACTTACCACAACATCACATGAAAGGATATAAGTTACTTGGGAATCATTTATAATCCACCAACTGGTCTCCTTTCCAAAAGGAATGCGGCGATATTTTATCCATATTTATGAGCAAATACATAAATCCACAGTTCCCGTTGTATACACTCAGTGGAGATTGCAGCCAACAAAGTAATGCATTTAAAGCATATGCACACTTCCCATAATCACGGCGACACCGCGGAATATATCAAAATCGCAGAGTAATCAAACCCAACACGCGATGTAATTAACTGAATCCGAAAGGCAAACAAGTTGTATTCCGATTTTGAATATTCGTCCATATGTCGATCATGATGACAAATCCAAATCACTACGTATACAGAGTCAATAAATCTGGATATCTATGAAATGACGAAAACATGCTGATAGCTGCATCTCATATCTCAATGACTCATTCGATGGCGAAACTCTGCTCCCGCATGCCTCTTCTGACATTTTTGTATGGATTGGTTCGCAGTTACTCAGGTTCCAGACCGAAAAGAATAAAAAATCCACTGGTTGCTGAATTATGATTACTTCTCTGCATGTTTAACTGGATACTAACTGCTGTGGTGAGCCTTTTGCAGTTTATATTGCTTACAACATCGTTTACGGTAAACTGAGTAACGTTTTATAAGTCATTTTTATACTTTTGTGACTAGCCCACCATATCGACCGAATGTAACGCAACACTCAGTTGTTTCGCTCATGTTCAACAAATTCAAACAATAGTTGTGCCTAGGATTATGCCATATAAACTGTTTTAACTTATGCAGAGTGTACTTACGGTCAATATTTCATTATCTTCCCTTGCATATATATTTTGTGTTAGTGAAAATTTTTAAACATTTTTACTTCATGTGTGCATTATTATGATATCGATGATGCCTGTCAACTGGAGTCCCTCAAGTGCATAAAGTGGGAATATATTATTGTAAGACGCATTTTATTGTTATATGAGGGAATTGACTTCAAGCTTTATTTATTTTCCCAAGTATATGTAATCCACCCAACGCATACTTGGGTTTTTTTTGTTAATGCGAAGTCAATATCTCTATATTTCTTGGTGTGTTCCATTGAATCACCAGTTATCCGATTTTCCCCACAAACTAAAGATAAAATGACAACAACCATGTTATTTAACCGTAATCCATGTAATTTAAATATGTAACTTAAATAAATCTTATCCATTCCTATACAACTTTTGTGTCCTATAGTTGTATGAATAAATATGTACCCTATTACATTATCATTACTAACTATACTTACTAATCGTATGTGTAATTTATCGATTTGATGATGCCTGTAAACTGGCGTCCCTCATGTAAAAAAATGAGAATATACTATTATTATTATGTTTGAGAATATCATCTTTAACTATTCTTTCAATGATTCTAGATACTATGGGTGTAATATTGATTGGCCTATAGTTGTTGACTTCAGTTTTTGATCCGGATTTGTGTTTGGGTACCATAAATGTGGTTTTCCAGTTATCTGGATAGGTTTGGCTTTCTAGGGACATTGTAAAGATCCTAAGTAATAAAACGGTAATGTCAGAACCACCGTGTTTATAAAGATACGATGGTATACCATCAATACCAGCACTACTAGAGCTTTTAAGAGTATTAATGGCTTGGTTAATATTAGAATAAGTGAAATGAACTGTACTGATTTGTTTCAGCATTGAAGAAGAAGGGAGTTCTATTGTAGATTGTAAACCGAGAAGTGGACTTGTGGGCTTAAAGTAGTTAGCTTAAAACGTCCCATTGAACAGTTCACACATGTCTGCATGGTCGCTGTATAGTTTACCCTTGTTTATAAGGAGAGAAATTTTATGGCTTTGGCGATTCATTCGTTTCTTAAGGATTTCTGTGACAGCTCCTACTCTGGTGGTGCTGGCTAGTGCGGTGCATTCTCCATTTCTCAAACGCAAGTTATGAGCTTGCGAGATGGAGCTAAAAGTACTAAGTATTGACCCTAGTGTACTATCAATATAGGAACTATAGAAATGCCGACTGGGAATTCCTACCAACTCTCTTGAGAAGCTCTGACTGGGATGAGTACTTTGCCAATGATAACTTAGAAGTAACACTTGATACCTTCTACAAGACGGTCAGTTAGGTAAGAGATACAATCGCACCCCTAAAGTCTGCCTTAAGGACACCAACTCTTTTCATAGACCGCAAAACGCGATTAAAACTAAGGAAATTGAAAAGGAAATTTTATTTATATAAAGAATTTAGTGCATTACACCAGATACATGAAACATTTAAAAATCTTGAGGAGAGACATAAAATGAAGGCACAGCTCGAGGAAAATGAAGCCCTAGGGGGCACTTCTAAAACTCAGGAACTCTGCAAGATCTTACAAAAACGACTAAACAAGGGTAACGAAAATAATGTTGACCACTTGGAGCATGAAGGTATAAGTTATGATGATCCCCAGATTATTTGTGAACGCCTAAACCAATGGTTCTCCAATAACACCAAAGCGCATCCGTCTCCAATCCTCGATATAACCTGCAAAAATAACTACGAGTTAGGTGAAATCAAATTTAATACACAAAATATAGCATCAGCGGTAGAGACATTAAAAGCTAATGGTAGTTGTGGGATACATGATATACCATCTATCATATACAAAAACGGTGGCTCGGATATGATAGTACTATTACTTAGAATATTCACCCTCTCACTAGTGACTGGGACCTACCCTGAAACTTGGAAAAACACGTATATACTACCTAAGCATAAAGGAGGGGCCAAAACTAGTGCATGTAATTATAGTTCCATTATGGGTAAATTTTTATTTTGATAGTCTCACAGTGTTATACAGTAATATTTACTGATGACGTTTCGAGCACAAACTATTGCTCATAATCATATCAAGTTACTCACACAACTTCTTTCCTCCATTTATATACATGTGTGGAATCGACTAGATATTGGATTAAAATTCAATATGAGATAATGTACATTCAGAAATAATAGTACGAGTGTTATTAATCCATTGCAATTAAATGGGAAATACGACGAGTGTTTTTATAATTATAATAAGTTGATTGTTAGAATGTGTTTGAATGGAAATAGATTATTTATTATCCTCCTCTGATTTGACTGGTGGCAATAATAATAATAATAATTATTATTATTATAAAAACACTCGTCGTATTTCCCATTTAATTGCAATGGATTAATAACACTCGTACTATTATTTCTGAATGTACATTATCTCATATTGAATTTTAATCCAATATCTAGTCGATTCCACACATGTATATAAATGAAGGAAAGAAGTTGTGTGAGTAACTTGATATGATTATGAGCAATAGTTTGTGCTCGAAACGTCATCAGTAAATATTACTGTATAACACTGTGAGACTCTATCAAAATAAAAATTTACCCATAATGGAATTACACTCTACCACAGTGCCCAAGTTTTATTCTTATACCATGTAATTATAGGCCTATCAATATAACACCTGTCATATCAAGGATCATGGAGAAAGTAATCAAAGACCAAACGTCAGACTACTTTCTAAAACACAAACTCATCAACCAGTCACAACACGGATTCCTTAAGAAAAGATCTTGCGTCACTTGCCATATAGACTTTTTCAACGAAGTCACCTATAGAAGAGATAGGAGAGAACTAGTAATTATCCTCTATTTCGATATCAGGAAAGCCTTCGACAGAGTCCCACATAGTCTGTTAGTCAGCAGGCTATGCTCACTAGGGATACGCAACCCCCTCCACAACTGGATAAAATCATTTCTCAGTGACAGAAATCAGACAACAAAAGCTGGCTCTATAACCTCCAGGCCCTGACCAATTAGCAGTGGTGTCATCCAGGGGAGTGTATTGGGCCCCCTTTTTTTCATTATATACATAAACAGTATATGTGAGTGCTTTAGTATAGACAAGCCAATAATGTACGCAGATGACTTAAAGGTGACATATAATTGCACAAATACAGATATCGGTACAACTATGAACTCCATACATGAAGAATTAACAAAAATGGATATGTGGTGCGACACCTGGAGACTTGAGTTTAATGTCGAAAAGTGTGGCTGGCTCTGCATAGGCTGTCCCAACCTAGAACTCGACCTAGCAATTCAGGGCCACAAAATCCCTAGACTCAAATCTGTGCTAGACCTAGGACTGACATATTCACACAATCTATCATTTTCTGAACATATCTCGAAACAAGTATCGAAATCACACAGGCTTATTGGTTTCCTACTCAGGAACTTCTACAGAAGTGAATCCAGAATACTACTGTACAAGGTTTGTGTGCGCCCACTCCTAGACTATTGTTCATTCATATTTAGTAGTATACGCATAGAAGACAAACTAAAAGTAGAAGGAGTGCAGAGGTACTTCACGCTAAAAGTACTCGGAACCGAAAACGGCACAAACTACTCCACCAGATGTGAAATTCTAGGACTAGAAACATTATGGTTAAGACGACTGCGACTAAATCTGGTACTCTTCTATAAACTACTTAACCACATAGTGTATACCCCTACTAATTGTACTCGGTTTTCAGAAGACACTGGATATAACCTTAGACACACTAAAGGTACGGTGGCTACAGAACAATGTAAAACAACCACCAGGCAAAACTTTTTCATGATTAGGTATACCCAAATATGGAACAAACTACCTGAGGAAATGCGACTAGCAAGCTCACTGGTGTCCTTTGAAAAAGCTCTTAATGACACACTAAGTGGGTTTGCAAGTGATACCAGTGCTAATTCCCATGTAGGAGCTTCAGAAATTATAGGCCCATTTAATGTATGAACTTAGAGACTACACCTGCTGTTTCTTTTGCCTTTATCTATAATTTCAGACAAAAAAGCAGCAGTCATGAAAATAACACCCATACAAATAAGAGTCGATCGAATTAT